ATAAAAAAATACAATCCATTTTCTTTTGTTTACTTTGGGCATTAGGAAACTAATAAAAAAAGATTTTATGAAGAGTCTGGATGAAATTTGGTAATTAAGTAAAAATTACACACTACATACTTTGACCACGATTTTATAATCCCATGCACCAAAATTCTCATCACAATTGGAAAGGGAGCTCAAAAATATGCATTTCTTGGATTTGAACGTACAGTTTTCGTTTAATCATGGACATTGAAGTGCATATATAAAACAAATAAAGGAGAGAACCTCGGTGTCTGCAAGTCCTTGAGAAGTCTTATAAAGATCTCACATTCAGTTATATAAATTTTGGGCCTTAAAAGTCATTAAATTGTCTCAAAATTGAATTTATTTATTGCAACAAGCATTTTATCTAATCATATTTATCCATCTTTTAAAATATTTTTGTCAAAATGAATCAAGATTTCCTGTGTAAAAGTCCACATTGCTGATGTTACAAGTCTTTAATGGTAATTTTATTTGTAAAGAACCTTTCAAAGTTAAACACGAACCTTATACTGTCTTTTTACCTAATACTGTCTTGTTATTTTATACTTGCACTTACACGTGAGCAAAATGAAGATTAAAGTAACCCACTCTAATATCCATATTTCTATGTAAAACCTACCTCTGCATGGGTCTGCATATATACTTACCTACAGTGCTTGAACAAGAAAAAGATGATTTGCTCAAAAGTCTGCCTTACATTTGGTTAAAACCTGTCTTGAAAAGTTCTTTAAAAGTATTAAAGTGTCTTAATACCTTTGCAGGCCCATATTTACAGAGCTTTTCTTTTCATCCAGAACACTGTAACATTTTGTAATTTCTAAAAAGACAAAAAAACAAAACAAAAAATTAATAAACATACATTTAAACGTAAATATATACGTGTTACGTAAATACTAATAAAACAAAAAATAAGAAACGGCTAGTTGGTATAGCAAAAATATGATAATTTTTTTGATCTACTGCCAAATGTATGTATTTCTTCTCATGACATTAAATAAAGAATAAACAAGCTAATGCTTTAATAATATAAGATAATTATAATACTCTGAGGATCTCACCAAAAATGTTATTTATTCTATAATCAATCATAAAAATAAGTAACCTCACTCTTTTTTTCTCTGTCCCTGAATGATTGACTCATTCTTTTTTCTGAACACACAATAGAACTCCACATTCTTCCACCACTGTGTATATGCAGTTTAATGCCTTCATATTATCCTGTATGGAAGACCATGCAGGTATGCAGAGGGAGGCCACGGCTGAATAAATGTAGCTCATATTTATACATCCGTCAAGACACACACCAACACTCTGCTGTATGTGAGCATACACACACACACACATACACACACACACACACACACACGCATAGAGTCACATTCCCCAGTTTCAAGCATGCATTTCAACAGGCCTTGTGTGAGCAGGAAAGAAATGAAACCACTAAATGCGGCACGTATATCCTGTACATTTAGAACCTTTTAAACGGATTGCCTTTTTTTTTTTTTTTTTTCCGGCCGGCGCGGACCCCCAATGCTGACAGAGCCTGGCTGACTTCCCAGAACAGAACAATATCTGCCAGGTCGACCGAGGGGCCCAGCAGTCCCCACACACACACACACACACACACACAGCAGTGAACACAAACGTCTGGCCTTTAAACCGTCAGCGCTCAGGCCCTGCCTTACATAATGACAGAGAATGGAGGCATTAAGGCAATTTGTTTGATTTAAGTTGTCAAGGCGTCCTGGACCCTGCCCCTCTCAGCTGGTTTTGATACCCAGAGTCTGTGTGTGTGTGTCATAGACCTCTTGGTGTTGGAAAAACAAGAGGAATGGAGGGACTCCCACACAGACAGCAGGACAGAGAGGGGTGTCGGTGAGGTAGGTGCTGTAGTAGCATAAAATAAGGTTTATGAGGTCCAGGGAGAGTGAGCAGTGACAAGGCAGGAGCAGAAGTGTGTAAGGAAGGAAGAGGTGGAGGAGGGGAGGAGGAAGAGCTGAAGTTGAACCTGAGAGAGCTGAGATTACATTACGTCTTCTGCTGGACAGGAGATCTGTGAGTGTGTGTTCATCAGGAGCCAATGTGTTCCATTAGCTGGCTGCACCCATCTTGACCTGAACAACCCCAGTGTGACGCTTTTACATTTAATTTGAAGACTTCCATTAAGAAGAGGAGGAAATGCTGGCCATGCTTTTTATACTTGAAGAAAAAAAAATCCTAAAACAAAGCTTTTTTTTTGCACCTTACCGTCTACAGGAAATATATACCCCTTTTTTAATTTGATGAAACCCTTATTTTTTATTTAACAAGAGGAGCTAAGTCTGTCAAATAGTGTCTAAACCCAAATCCAAACATTTTATTTTAATATAATCAAAAAAATGACAAAATATTTGTTTAAATTGTGAGCTGTCTGATCAAAAAACAAGTAAAGAAGATTACAAATGTTACCTGATATTTGGTGCCAACTTTCTTTATTTGACTTGTACAGTACTCAGTGATGTGAATAATATTGTATAGTGTAGTAGCCATAGTCATACATTTAAATGTGTGACCAAGTGGAAAATGCTGAAGAGACTGAAAATAATGTCAGATGACACCTCAGCTGTGTGGAGCAATGAGGAAACAGTAACGTTCCATTCATCAGTATATTAAACAAATAAATGCAGTATTTATATCACATTTTCTACATTGTTTTTCACCATTAAGGTTTGTCTTAAGCTCTTTGCATGTCATTATGTTGTGCGTGCTCCTTCTGCAGTGGTTTAACAAGTGCTGGAACCAGCGAATCAGTAGAGTGACTGAAACTTTTAGCTTTACTCATTTATTTACTATGTAACCAGACATTTCCTGGGTATGGTTTTAAAAATGCTTTTGTTCTTAATTCCAAACCAAAACAAAAACCAAAATACCAAAAAAAACAAACAAAAAACCCCCGAAATACCTCAGGTTTTTGGGCTTTTGGCAGACATGGAGCACGGACACAACGTGTCACCTAGGCAGGGTGAAGGGGGGTGTTTGTTTTTTTTTCTTTCATTTTAAGATTACTTTTCAGGCATTTTTGCCTTTATTGACAAGGTGGGAGAGAGAAGGGGATTACATGCAGCAAAAGGCTGGGGGTCAGAATTGAACTTGGGCCGCTGCAAAGGACTCAACCTTTATGGGATGCACATTCTACCAGTTGAGGTAGAGGCTGGAAAGTTTGCAGAGGTGTGTGTAGAGAAAAAAAAAGATAGACCAGTTGCATTAAAAATAAAAGCATTGAGCAGCATGGGTACCCGTGCTGGCAAGCACAGTTTGAAACTGTTAGGTCAATAATTAGACTTCCCTCTGACATCTTCATACAGCATCTTCTCAGTAAATGATAGTGTGTCTTTGTCGATTTCTTCAACTGGTCCATTTTTAGGCTTTAGGTTGTTGTGATTTTAGATTGGTGTTTATTATATAGATATTGCTACTGCTGTGTGCACCCCTTGTGTTTGCTGTGGAATCATAATGTAACACAAAGTATATGTTATGCATAAAGTGTCCCCTGACTTTCTGTTGTAAATGATGTAAATGAAAATGCCAGAATGCAAAGTAAAAGTGTGAGTGGAGCGTCACAGGTAATTACACCGAGCTGTGGAGTGTAATTGAACCTGATCAAACCTGCTCACTCTGTGTGTGTGAGTGTGTAAGTGTGTGAGCGTGTGTGAGTGGAATAGAGGCCCAGTGTTCTTCGGTCTCAGCTTTAAATAAGGGGTCTTTATCTGGCCATGTGTACAGCGCCGGTGTGGAAGCACTAAAGGGCCAAAGCGTTTCCTCCATACAGACGTGGCTCATGCCGCTCGCTCCAGGTGTGGTGACCACTAACCAGCATGGCTTTTAACCGTCATGCCTGATTTGGAGCCTGAGGCCAAGCTGGCACTCACACAAGCACACACAGTTCAAGTGCACAGTGTCACAAACTCACACAGTCGTGCATGCACACATCCATATCTAATTTAAACTTAATTTCCCCCCAAGTGTTCATTAAAATCCCCTCCCCCCCAGCCCTCAGCAACAGGCATTCTGGGAGTTGGAGTGTTTAGTTTGAGGAATGAGCTTTCTGATCAGCTCTGATGGACTCCAGAAACGACACATTCTCCAGTTACATTCCACATCATTGTTGCCTCCCCGCCTTCTTTGATGGTAGATTTTGGTGAATTTGTGTGAAATGTGCAGTGAACTTGTGCCATTTGTTAAGTTCCTCACTTTGCATCATTCTGTGTTCAGTTATACTTAAGCAATACCCTTCATTATGTATATGTTGATAAATGAAAGAGTATGTCTTTAATGAATTTCAAAACTTAAGATCTAACAGGCAAAACCGTATAAATCCTGGATCCTGACCGGCTGATACGACAATACTAGCACCTCTTGCACCTGGAATATGGCTGACCTGATAAGTGGCAGCTTTTCAGTGCAAATTCAGCAAGCCAGATTTAAAGGATTTTAGTACACTTTGAGTGAATCAAACCTCTTAAGACAACAGCCATTTGTGATGTGTTGCGTATGATTTCAGTGAAACTAGGCTAATCATTAAAATAATACAACATTTTATTTTTTATATATATATTTATTTATTTATTTTTTACATGGCTAAGACCATGCATACATTCTGTGTACAGGCCTAATAAGTAACTATACACACTGTGCAGAAATGCAGGGCCTGACTGGACTGCGGTTATATTTATTTTTTCCTGTTCTGGGATTTCACCAGGTCAAGACTTGAGACTTGAATTTTTTTACTTTAAGTTTTGAACAGTCAAAGTCAAGTCTTGAGTCCTCATTGTTGTTACTTAACTACAAACAGAGACAAGTCCAAAGTCACTATTTTCTATATTCTACATCAAATAGTATGAATTTTTCACAGATTTGCATAGAGGAAATTTTTCTATCAACGTCCCTAAATAATTTCTCCATCTGTTTTTTCCCCTCTCTCTCTTCTTTAGATCTCCTTCGAGTTGGCTGAGTACACCGCTAATGTGGATGGCGTTGGTACGCTTCGTCTCCTGGATGCCATAAAGACATGCGGTCTGACCAACAGCGTAAAATTCTACCAGGCCTCTACCAGTGAGCTGTACGGCAAAGTTCAGGAGATCCCCCAGAAAGAAACCACGCCCTTCTACCCTCGCTCACCTTATGGTAATACATGTGGAAACACACACACACACACACTCACTAGGATTATGTAACATTTTCTACATTGCACCATTCATCAAACCATTGCGTATGGCCATGTAAGGGCATACAAACACAGATTGCTTGATACCTCCACAGCACTTTTTTCTTGTGAATCTTTGTGTGTGTGTGTGTGTGTGTGTGTGTGTGTGTGTGTAGGTGTGTGTGTGTATGTGTATGTGTAGGTGTGTGTGTGTGTATGTGTAGGTGTGTGTAAGTGAATAGAGGGGGGCTTCAGTGCTCAAGCAGCGTTTGAGCTCTCCACACACCCTGAGGCCAAAACGTCTGAGTGAAGACTGGAGTGGCTCTCACTTTAACAAAGACACCTTTATATCCACAGCACTCAGCACTCACTTTCAACACACACACACACACACACACACGCAGGCAGGCTGTACACGTGTGTGAGCGATAGGGTTTCATGTTCTCTGTTGTCTAAATGCTCTCCTCACTGACACTTTCCCCATCTGTCAGCACTCAATCTGAAGCTGCATGGGAGGCGCATACCATCATGAGGAGGGCTGCTCCTCTATTAATTAGACTTAGGATAGGGGGAGGCAGGGGTTGCCATGGCGACCTCCCTTCACCTCCAGTGTACATCCTGACCTACGGCTTAATCAGTGGGCACCTCCCTTTGCTTGCTCTGGTATTCCCCTCGTTGCAGAGGGAGGGAGGAGGAGGATGGTGAGAGGAAGAGAGGGGAGAACTTTTTGTACAAGCCTGCTTTTGGTCAGTCAGCAGGAGTCTGTGGTTCACGTTCCTGACGTTGAAATATGATCTGCGGTACTGCTGTGTTCAAATATGACATGTAGTGTAGTTACAACACAGAGTCTTTCTCTCTGTTCTTCCTGCAGCTTTGAGAAGAAATATCAGTGTTTCTCTCTGCTCACATTGTCATAAGATTTAACTGTGCTTATGGCTGCATCAACGTTTTATTTACTGATGGGGTGAATAAAAGCATCATGTCAGAGAGACGAGTCGATTGTGGATCTGAGAGGACTGTTAGGTTTTGTGTGAAGTCATACCGCTTCACCTCTCTGGTACTAATATGCATCTGGCACCCTGTTTCCTCTGCTCCTGTCTTTCTCCACCTCTCCTCACAGGTGCCGCAAAGCTCTATGCTTACTGGATCGTGGTGAACTTTCGAGAGGCCTACAACATGTTCTCTGTCAACGGGATCCTCTTTAACCACGAGAGCCCTAGGAGAGGTGAGCACGACACGCATCCTGCTGTTCTGTGTCACCACAAAACTGCAGTTGGTTTTTGTCCTTATGTGGAAATGAGGTTGCATCTGATAGTAATAATGGAGAAGAGAAGAAAAGAAAATATGCCACTCAAAGAGCTTTTTGATTCAAGATGAAAAATATTTTTTTATTAAAGTTTTCCTGTCTGCCACCTTTTGTTTAGAAGGATCAGGCAGGAGTTGGAAAAGAGTCGCATTACTTCATTTAGATTACACGTTGCACACAAAATATAACTTATGATACAACTGTATGGTGATATTTGGTACAACAGTGAGACCTCAAGTGTGATACTGCTTAAATAATTCCACTTACAAATAGACTGTGAAACTAAAAATTTAACAAAAAAAGCTTTTTTTTTTCTCAGCAAAAATATGCTTGTATCCATAAAAGGACATTAAAATTTTTTTTCAATATATAATTATAGTAGCAGGCACGAAAAGTACAAAAAATCTCTCAAAACTTTTTTGTCTCCAAGTTACTATTTTATTTTTTATTGCTGTACATGGAAGTACACAAATCTTCATTAGAGCACCACAAGAGTGGTGTCATTTAAGACCAAAACAAAACAAAGAACAATAGGTTCATTAGAAAAAGGCTTTTGGTGTTGTTGTTGTTGTTGTTGTTTTGTTTTGTTTTGTGTTTTAAATTCACTGTCAAGGTTATATAAATATCATGGGTTCCTGCAGGCAGGTCAAAAAGTGACAAAGCAGTGTTTGGAGTAAGTTATTGATATTTAGGTCTCCAGAAACATTGCATGCAATAGTCCATCTTACACCCTCTCTTCCTCTCTCTCTCAAACACACACATGCACATACTTTGGAGAGCAGCCTGCTGTTCAGTCTTAACAGTCTCTGTCCATGTCTCAGTCCTCAGTCCTGACAATTGTGATATTGTAATGCATAAAGTTGGCACTTTAAAGCACCACCTGACAATTAAACATGAACAAAAGCAGGGTACAGGGTTGGTTTGAATTTGTCATAACTGAACATTGTTTCATGTAAACAGTAATCTTAGTAATCATGTGAATGATACTGAATGTAAATTATTACCTCAGCTGTTGTGGTTTTTATTAGAAGACCTGTTGATGAACTATTTTGCCAGTTAGAAATGAATAGATCATGTCATGCAGGGCAGCAGTTTTTGTATAGTAAAAATTACGCTGTGAAAAAATGACATCACTAAGCCTGAGCAACAGGCAGAACCCACGATAAAGCAGTAAAAACAGAAGGTATACCATTGTTGGACTGTGTAAAAGTATTCAATTACATGCTCTATATAAAGTCATATTCATTCACCGGTGGTGCCAGGTTTCTCATAACTACTTGACACACACTAACACACATTCTGACACATAGTGAGTGGGTTGTGGTCACATTTTTAATATGTGCTCTGAGCCCTGAGGATCGCAGTCGCTGGTTTAACCCGATTTACACGCCACCGCGACCCAAAATGAATACCACATGACTGCAGCTCCAGTGCTGCGCCCAGGTCAGCCGCTCAGGTGTTTATGATTTATCCCCTAATGAAGGCCCTGGCCACGACCCCAGCCAAGGTCAGGGGTCAGCCAGTAAACCCTAATGGGTTACCACAGATAGATAGGTGTGGGAACTGGTGCAGTTTACAGCCAGCTCAGCAAAGATGATGTGGTCGCCCGCGAGGTCTATGTAATGGAGAATTAGTTGACACAATCTATCTGGGAATGATGTGTGATGCAGAGGAGTGAGTGGAAAAATTGGTTGGATGACAGGAGCAGAGATGGAGATAATTAGAAAATTAGTCTAAAACAATAATAATACTTGGTTAACTGGTAAGGGTCCTTTATCAATCAAAAATGCCAAACATTCTCTGGTTCCAGCCTTTTAAATTGGAAGATCACCTGCCTTAGTGAATTAAGTATCTTTAGGTTTAGATAGCTGGTGAGACACAAAAAACATTTTTCATCTTGGGCTCTGGAAACTTTTCATGTTTTTTTGAAATCGTAAAACTTAAGGATAAATCAGTTAATTGAAAAATACGCATCAGAGCTATTAATCATGAAAACAATCATTAGTTGCAGCCCTAGAGATAAACAAACAGGCTGATTAAGTGGCCCTGTGAAACTGTGAAATCAGAGATGCTTGAATCCTTTTTCCACAAGTCCATACAATGACCTTAAAAGGGCAAAACTTTCTGCTTGCTGGATATCACGTTCTTAACTTTTTGGTCCTTGGTCAGTTCTTTCTCATCTCCCTGTCTGATTCTTCTTCTATCTTTCCATTCTTTGTACACACTCCTCTCCTATTTCTTCCTCTCTCCTGCTTCATTCCATGTCTTCATCCTCCTTTTTCCACAGTCAGCATTTCTGCAGCGGGCCATTGGGTTTGCTCCCGCCACTTCTATTCTCAGAGTTACGGCTGTTGTTGCTCATAAAGCAGGAACGCGGTGCTGTGATGTGGCCAGATGTCCCACTGCTGCCTTGCACAACCCGGTGTGGCGCTTGTGTTGGCTGGTTTGGACAGTGTTTACCCAGGCCCCCTGGGCCCGCCATGACCCGACCGCTGCCACACTGAGGGGGCGTTTGGCCATGCACTCCGTCACCCACAGTAGGGCTTTGGAGGGGAGGAGTTGATGCTTTGTGTTCCTAAAATGCCCTCATGGCATGGCACATTTTGTCATTGTTGGAGTGTAAGATTTTACTATAAATTACACAGTGTGAGATACATGACTACTGCACTGATACTGTATAGAGAGAATACTGAGGCAACGTTGCTTTTATGAATGTTTTCACATATTTGATGCCATGAGTATGTTTTATGTTCAAACCAGAAGAATTACAAACTCACGTATACTAAAACTGCAGACATACACACTAAAATGTCTACTTTTGAGTTGGAATGCTTTTTTTAACATATGTACTTCCGTAACCTTCAAAATTGTTGAAGTTGATAGTGTTCTCTTAGTCACAAACTCAATTGAAGTGACCATTTTTATTACACCTTGCAGCATTTTTGGTACAAAGTGTAACATCTCTGCATTTTAGTAAATAGATGTAGATGGACCAACATCACTTTATTTTATATTAACCTTCAAAACAGTACATGAACATTACTGTACATACAGTATGTACTATATATTTTTAGTGTATCGTGTCGGATTGGGACACAATTCTTGGGGGAAAAAAATCAGCTGATGAACAAATATATAAGTAATGACAATGGAAGACAATGACAAATGCTTACCGAGGGGAAAAATAAAACTTGCACCAACAGAAACTGGAAAAGTCTCAACAGTAAAAGCTACACCCAAAACACTAAAATATATCAAATAAAAATCAATAAATTCGCACTGCTGGCTGCTCTCTTTGATTCCCAAGTGATTTGGGGAAATTACTCACCAAAACAATGACATCACTTAAGAAGCTAGTGAAACATATTGCAGATCACCAGAGCCAGAGGAATTTTCATCTCTCCTCTGTTCCCAGCCACACCCTGAACATCTCTGTTCTGTATTTTTGTCCCTAAGTGTGTTAACGCTCTCGTGGTAGGCGAGATAAAGGTTTATTTATTACCTGTATGTTGCCCCTCTTGTCCTTTTACGCACACTTGTGCGTCTGGCAAATTAGTCACTAATGAGGGAGGAAGTGCACAATGTCGGTGTCAGTGGCCCTGACATCACTTCTCTCCTGCCTCCCCTCCCACACACAGGAAAAGCTGTGATGTCATTGTCCCCGGGTGCCAGTGGCTGTGTGTGCCTGATTCTGAGAAACAAATAGATGTTTGCCGTTATGAGGGAGTTTTTCCCTTCAACAACAAACTCACTGAGTCTTGCTCTAGCTGCGTTTGCCAAAGTGACCTACCAGTGGCCAATCATGTCCATAGTGCAGTGTGGCGTGTTGTGGTGTGTCACATAGGATGGTTCTGATGGCTGCTGGGAATGGCTGGAGGGGGGAAAGTGAGGCTCAACACCAGTTTCCCCTCTGACTTACTGTCCCTCTGTAGGATTCAACAAGGAGCTCTGTCTCTCACAGTGCCCAGGATGACTTAATCCCAGCAGTAATGCACTTCTAGTTTCTCTTACAGTTCTCATAAACACCTGACTGTTCAGCAAATAATCAGCTGATGTCCATTGTTCCACAGCAAAAGGTCGTAATCGGACAGTCGGGGAGAAAAAATATCCCGGTGGAAATCCAGCATGAAGCAAAGCAAACAGAAGCCTGCATCTGCTGGCCAGTTCACACCACAGCTAGCTCCTTTCTGGTTAACTTACTTGTTAGCCATAACAAACAGCCCTCACGCTGACACTGAAGAGGGGGTTTAGCATTAGCAGGGGTGCTAAATAGACTCCATATTGCTTTGACATATGAGACGGTGCAGTACTTACACTCTCTATTGAAAAGTGATCAGAGTGAAACCTGTGTAAATAACCAGTTCATGTATTTATTTGGTCGTCATATTCAACAAACATACAGCACCTCAGATTCCCCCAAAATCTAATTTTGACAATATAAGACAAACCCAAGTTTAATTTATAGTTATTAGCAGTGTGTTGATCTAAGTCGGTACAGTAAATCAGCACAGTAATATGTTTTGTGTGAGTATCCTCCGTTGCTGCTACTGACCAGCTCCAGTTGTAGGCTAATCCCCTGGTTTATTTGGGGAAGTCCCATCCATCTCTCCACCCTGAGAGCTCTGTGGTTCACGCTTGGCAGTATAGAATAATATACTGTTATGTTAGGAGAGAAGACCGGTTAGCATTGGGGAAGTTAGAATAGCACTGCCAAAGTCAATGCTGCCCCCTCAAATACTCACACATACAGCCACTGAGCCGCTACACGCCTTGGCTTCATCTTTCTGCTTTCGTTGAGGTTGAGCCCAAAAGGTCAGATCGTATGATAGATTTGTAAGAGGATATGTTTTCCATTTATTGGAGAGGTTATTTTGTAAGGAAATCTTCAAATAGGAATGACTCGGTCAGGGGGGCGTCGA